TCTTCTAGAACATGGCCACACAGACCGAAAAACCCACAAAAAACTATACAACAGGATGGTTTCATAAACAAATGCCAAAATGAAAGGGAGAAACTCACAAAGTACCAAGGTACTAAATTGGAGCGTGTCCAGAGGAGGGTAATCAGAATGGTGAAGGGTCTGGAAACCATGCCTTATGAGGAAAGACTTAGGGAGTGGGTATGTTTAGCCTGGAGAAGAGATGATTAAGGGGTGATATGATAGCCCTGTTTAAGTTTAGGACGGGATATGGAGTTGAGACTGCTGTGGTTGCCTTAGTGGATGAGCTCTGTCTGGGCATTGACAGGAAGTGTGACCCTGTTGGACCTCTCAGCGGCCTTCGATACCATTGGCCATGGTATTCTTCTTGAATGCTTGAGAGAGTTGGGAATCGGAGGCTCTGCTTTGCAGTGGTTCTGTTCCTACCTCTCAGGCAGATTCCAGAGCTAAAATCTGGCATCTCCCAGGCTGCCATCCTGTCTCCCATGCTGTTTAACATTTAGATGAAGCCGCTGGGTGTGATCATCTGGAAACATGGGGCAGGGTGTTATCAATATGCTGATGGCATCCAAATATATTTCTCTATGTCTCGAATTGATGCATTGACTAAGGATGGCATTTCTCCTCTGAAAGACTGTCTTGAGGCAGTAATGGACTGGATGAGAGAAAACAAACTCAAGCTGAATCCAGACAAGATGGAGGTACTTGCTATAGGCACCCCAAACCTGAGAATGGAGATATGTCAGCCAGTTCTGGACGGGGTCACACTTCCCCTGAAGGACTCTGTCTGCAGTCTGGGGGTGCTCCTAGATTCGCCGCTGCACCTGACCGACAGCTCATCAGCTTCAACTGATTCGCCAGCTGCGACCCTTCCTGGAACCAGGCAACCCAGAAACAGTGGTACATGTGCTGGTAACCTCTAGACATGACTTCTGCAATGCGCTCTACATGGGGCTACCCTCGTGCCAAGTTCAGAAACTTCAATTGGTACAGAATATGGCAGCCAGACTGGTCACAGGGACATCTACAACTGATGACATAATACGTTTTAAAATCTCTACATCGGCTGCCATTAGTTTCCGGGCACGGTACATGGTGTTGGTCATAGCCTTTAAAGCCCTACATGGCTTGGTTCCAGACTACCTGCAGGAGCACCTTCTTCCTCTGGGAAAAATCTTCTGCAACCTAAAAGATCTAGATTGGCTGCAGTAACTCAGAGAGCCTCTTGACTGCTGCCCCTAGGTTATGGAATGACCTGCCGGAGGAGATCCATCACATCGCCACCTTAACAGCCTTTAAAAAGGCATTTCAGATGGATCTCTTCTGACAAGCCTTCCCAGAATAGCCCCATGTATTTGCTTTTTTTTTTTTTT